TATTTAATTAAATTATGGGCGTGATTATGCGCTAATTAGTACAGCTGGCCAGCCTTGCCAGCTGACCGGCGCGGCAGTATCGATATTTTAAATATGGTTTTTGGCAACTGCTTTTTATATGTATATTTTTTTAGCAATTCATTTCACTTTTTATCAGCGAAAACGCTGCGGAATCCGCGTAGAATATCAGCCTGTCCGCACAAACCAAAAGCGATGTTAGTAACTGAGCGAATATATTTTTTTCAGTGACAAAAGAAAATCACAAACACTTGTACTACACACGATCAGAGGCGCAACACGACAGCAAATACAATAACAACATGCAATTATGGCATGCAATAGCAGTCGAAACGCTGATGACTAGTCGAGAAAGGAGCAACAAATTGACAAAAGGTCATTCGAGAACAATAACAAAAACTTAAACGCACACACACACACACACAGACACAACACGCTGCAATATCACCAAAGCACTTGAGTGAACTTAACGACTTTTGTCAGTCAAGTGAGCGACGGGAGCTTAAACATTCGCTTGCGTGTGTGTATGTGTATATGATTGAATTTACAAATATTAATTGGTGGAAATTAAATTAAAGCAATTAAAGTACATATGTACATACATACATACATACAATGACGGCTGTGCTACGGAATAGTCACATTAGAGCTATGCGATTAATAAAAATAACAACAAAATAGAACGTCACAAGCGAACAAATAATAACACAAACAAGAACAAGAAATGTGAAAAAAGTTACAGAAAGAATGCAATGCAATCAAATTCGATGACGTAAGCGCGACTTGTCAACACGAAATTGCACTATTTGCCAGTGCAGTTCGATAAACACAACAGAAGCCTGCGGTTGCCTTAAGAACTCGCTATAAACATTTAAACGCAAATAAATGATWTGGTTTGGTGATTTAAGAGAACTTTTCACAATAATGCTCCACAAACTCCCACAAAGCGTTTATAGGACGCAAAGCAGTACTACACCCACCGATTTGCTTATATCTAATGCAGCTAAAAAGGTTCCAACATTGAATTATAGCAGTGGGGAACGAAAGTCGCAAGTCAAAAGAATTTATTACTGCAGAGATTAATTTCTCTTCAAGAAAACTTAGTAGACTCGAAGCTGCTACGAACACTGAAAGGCAAATGTAACGCAAGCGACGCATAAATGGCTTTCGTTCATGTTCTATGATGATCTTCACTTATTTATTCTGCTTGTTTTAGCGTGCACAAATCTTTAAATTCCCCACATTTGCATACACAATTAGTGCCTTTATCAGCGCAATGCACAATTTACATATTTTCATAAGTACATAAGATATAAAATAATTTGCCTCAATTAATGGCGGACCGCAGAGCTTAAAAGACCGCCTGCTCAGATATTTTTAGTACGGTTTTTTGTTTGCTTTTTTTGCGACACACATCGCATATGTATATTCCTGTCGAAAAGTTAGCGCGGTACTACCGGCACTCATACTCAGTCAATACTTTTCTAACGGCATGAAAAAATGTCACAAATTATGGGGCAAATTTGCTGATAGCGATAACAGCGTCTTTCGAAACACATGTATGCTAACAGTTCTTAAAGAGCTTACATATACAAAARTAAAAATGCTTCTTTCGTAATACAATTCACGTAAGTACCATAATATACGTATTACAGTAAAGCTCTGTTAAAGAAAATAGATTGAATGGTTGTTTGGCGATTATTAAAAAGCAGTCCAAAACTTTTTCATTTCGAAACTTAGAATACGACTGAAATTTTAATAGAAACTGTCTAAGAAAATATACTATAGATAGCCAARCGATAATAGTGGTAGCATTGTTCGGTGAGGCTATCGGACCGCGCTCATATGATACCGAAACGGATCGATTTTTAAACCCTGAATAGAGTATATTAAGTYTTCCATGGTGTTTGTAGCACCCAAAAGGAAATGTCGGAGGCTCTGTGAAGTATATATGTATATGATCAGCCTGACAAGCTGAGTCAATTTTGCCATGTCCAWCTGTCCGTCTGTATATACGAGAACTCGTCTCTCAGTTTTTGAGATATTAGTCTGAAATTTTGCAGACGTCCTTTTCTCACGCAGAAGCTGCTCATTCGTCGAAATCAATAATAATATTTTGCTGCCTTAAAAATTGATTGATAGGAATCAAAAGCTTGTATGACAAACCATTTTCATTTGACGAGGTATCTTTCAAAAATTGGGCAGGATTATTATCTAAGGCATCGTAACAATCTCCAAATAAATTGTTCGGATCGGAGTAGTTATTATCTAAGGCATCGTAACAATCTCCAAATAAATTGTTCGGATCGGAGTAGTATAGTACATAGTTTCCATAAAAATTGAACGATAGGCATCAAGTGCTTGTGTAGAAAAACTCTTTCATTTGGCGAGGTATTTTTTTTTAGTTTATCAGAGGTTATTATCCAAGGTCTTATGCTATAAAAAATAGGTGCTCAGGTGCAGCCGAAGTTAACGTCAGCATTCATCGAAAGGTGTTGAAAAAATATCTTTTAACCGAACTGTTGGGAGTTATAGGTTATGTGTGTCATTTTATCAATAATATCGGCTATTTGACAAAAACAAAAATTGGCATGTTTACGACTGTGCTTATTTGAAGTATTGAGTAATTTACTTTATTTATCAGTTTGTTTCTGCTGATAACAATATTGAGAAAGTGTATGGTGAAAGCTAATAGTAAATGATAAATACCGACATAATCATCAAATCAGTCTTTATAGATAAATATGCCTAAAAAAAATCGATTAGTGATTAATTTAATTTGCTTATAACGGTATGTATTTTTAAAATTTGGCATGCATAATTTGGGTCAGTTTGTTTTTGTATGTTCAACAGAAATTGGTAATGGCAGATAATTGCTTTCAAGAATCTTTGCGGTCGCATCTTTGAACAAAAATAAGATTTCGGTRAGGATAGTGTGATCTTAGGAGACTTTCCCCATGAGACTTTCATATTTCCGACAACAAAATCGAAACAATGATGGTCCTTTACGAATAAATTGCGTTTGATATCCTTTGTGTATTGATTATAGTGAARGGAAAGAGAATCATCATCTGCTTTGGATCGACTTAATACATTTTAAAATCATATTTTCAAAATGATATGCAGATCCMAATCTTAACAAACTGCATGGGTATTCGGGCGACTAATAAAAAAAAGTAGTATTTGAAAATATGATTCTTTATTTATATATTGAAATGAATATTGATTGAGCTTATGCAATGGAAAGTAACATAAATGTTACTTAAAGGTAAAATTTCCTGATGACCAAAATTTTTATACGAATACATATGAATAGTTCGCTTTCAACTTACCAGTAGATCCGGCTCACTGTTGATACCATCTGGTGTGTGTGGCGCAAGCAATTCCTCATTTTCACGCAAGTCTTGTAAACTCTTCCACGTGTTGGCCTCGAAAGTGCCAACAGTAAGCGCTGACACAGGCGGCGTAATATCCGAAGCCTCAAAACCAATGGAGTGACGTTTAGTTGATGCAGCAGCAGCACCAGTCGAACTGCCGTTTTGCGAATTCGGTGCGTTAGCAGAGCCATCGGTGGTTGTATGTGCTGATGGTAGTGATTGACGTGCATTACGTGCGCGTGAAAGACAATCCTGCAGCAGCGCGTACACTTGACTAGCGGTGGGACGTTGTTTTTGATGTTGCATAGCCAACATGCAAGCGGCTGGATGTAAAAAGAGATGTTCATCGGCAGCAGAACAACTCATAGTAGAGGCTGAGGGAGCGCTCGAGTGCAGAGATATGTCATCCATAGACGCATGTGGTGCAATGAGAGATTGTTGATCTAAAGCGGCGGTTTCACCGTCATCTGCGCTGCGTTCGACCAAAGCCAGTACATCGTCACAGGAACGTGTTGTCTGCAGCGAAGTRGCTGGACTTTTGATGAGATTGAAACTAGCCAGTAGGTTTGGTCTTGAATTCGTGCAATGTGCATTRCTTGTGGATGCCACATCGACGTTTTGTGGCGGTGAATTTTCCTCTGKCACTGGACGTACGGTTGGCGGGCGCTTATCGGTGACATTATCAAAATTATTGAATATACCCATGGGGCGCGCGCCCATCGGCCGCATGCGCAGCTCAGGCGCACCAGGAAAATCCACCACCAGTATGCGATCAGAGATGTTATTGCAATCATTGTGGAATCCGATGCCAGAATCGGAATTTGATGTAGTTGTCGAGATTTCGCTGTGATTACTAGGTTGAGGAGAATGCGCCGCAGCTGCAGGTCCACCAGCAACAACACCTCCGTAAGCATTCACAATGTCMTCAGCGGCATGGTGCCTGACCACAGGWGGCATTATGCGCATTGTATACATGCTGCGTATGAGATTCACTACGTATTCTGAATTGTTTGGAAACTCCAGACACAAACTGGATATGGGATCGCGTGTACAGTGAATACGAAATTCGGCTGCACGCGGCACATGCGCCTGATGTTCGCATAGTTTTGTGTCCACCACAAACACATGACAACTATTTGAGATGCTAACGTGTGCATTGCCGTTATTACCTGGAACGCCACCGACACCCACTACTCCTTGTCCGTGACGAACATTGGCTGCTTCAATGTCGTCGTCATCTTCATCATCTTCGTCCATTTGCGAAGTGTGTACGGCACTAGTGACCAAACCAAAAAAACGATTCTCACTTTCCGATGATGAGCTCACATAGTTTAAGCGTTCGGAAGCGTAACTCGCCAGTGTATTGCCATTAGCTGCTTGTAGCCGAAGGCAATCGGGTAATATAGTCATTAATACCATGTTAGGTTGACGTTTTTCTTGACGCAATTTGCGTATACATGAGCGTACCGTCTGCAATTTGGAGCTGTGCGATATTTGCTTCGGCATTTCGATAGTACCTAGATAACCGACAATGGCACGATATTCTAAAGCGGCAGCCGGTGCACGCGCCATTGCATTTACGTTTGCTAATTCTGCGGCAGAGTTTGACGCAGTTGCGACACCAGCTGTTGGTTCTTTTGGTGCACTARCGCTGGGAGCAACATAAGCAGAGCTGTTAGCCGGTAAMGGCAGATCTTCGATRAGTGGGCGTAGTTTTTGTAATTCCATTGGTTTTAARGCAGACACACACTTCGACAGTTGTTCCGCACGTGCCAACTGTTGTTGTTGTTGTAATGTGATCGTACGCTTCTTTTGGGGCGAATTTCGCAGCCGATGCATCTTCGCTTTGTGATGCAAGTAACGGGGCTTGGCYCGCGCGCCGSCCACGCCTAAGCCTAATTGATTGGTGAGCACACTATTCAATCCCGACACTGTTGTTTGTTGTTGTAACATAAGCGCCGCATTCTCTTCATCAGAGCTGTCTGAATAATAGTTTTCAGCTATTTGCATGCGTATGCTACCAAACGAATTTCCAATTAGTTGCACTACGGTTTCGTGAGGTAACTTTGATACGTTTAAACCATTGACTGAAATCAGAAAATCACCAGCGCGTAATCCWGCTTGATCAGCGGGCGAATTAGAGACGATGCATGATAGGCGACAAGGTTGCTGACCAGATATGGTAAAGCCGAATCCATTATAACCACGTCGCACCTCTACGGTACGCGTACCGTAATTCGGTCGTTTTTTTCGGCGTCGYTGTTGCACATGCGTTGTTCCTACGCTAGTACTTGGATTGTTTACAATGGCAGTGCCAATTCCGGCATTAATGCTGCCAACATTTGGCAGAGCGGGTACCGATGCATTGTTGCTTGCTGAACCGCCGCCGGTGTTTGATTGTGTTGGTGCCAGTGGATGATGATGATGCATATTGAATGTGTTGGCTGAAAATATTGTCGTTATTTATTTTATTTATATACGAGTATAAAATARTTAAAAAGTACAAACCTGTAATAGCACTCCGTTTGTGCAGAGAGCGGATAGTCACTTGTGGATTTTAATATTACTTTTTCTGTTTCTCAATTATATTTTTAACGTTTTTTGCTGCTCTATCATAGGCAAAGAAAAACTGTGCGCAGCCGCAACTCTTGCAACGTAAGTGATATTAATGAGACAGCAAAGGGAGGCGGGCAAAAATCAAGTTTGTTCCACACCAACTCAGGCAATCTGCTTACAACTTTGGCTGCTGTTATTTTTAAKTTTTACACTTTGTCTTTAGCCACACAATATTTTTTATATGTATTTATTTTTAATAACTCTGTGCTGTTGTAGCTGTAATAGCCGTTGCGTATACACATATACATATATATTACATATACACTTTTTTTGTATTGTGGTGGTTAGCTCGATCCGCATACACCATTGAACTAACCAGTCCAGTTTTCATTGAGGAAAAATGTCAAATTACCAAATGAAGAGATAGTGGATCGGTTACAAAATTCCTTTGTTAATATTTGTMTAATATATACAAATGCTTTGAATATTATTACACAAATGCCATTGTTACTGTGTTTTAAGCTTTCTGTCGTTATAATATGATTGTGATGTAAATATTTTCAAAATAGATAATTCWTATTTGGAGTTCACAATTATTTGTAGTTAATTTCGCGTTCTTRGCAAGTGTTTGCCATCCGAGCTTATGCCATGTTCATATCTCAAWTTTCGCTACATTCACAAAARTTTTTTTTTWRTCTATTTTTCATTTGTTTGTTTCACTAATAACAGTTTGCGGCTTTTTTGTTTGAATATTAATTAATTTGTTTAAACAATAAACAGCGCAAACKCGACGTACTCGAACAGATTGGCATTTTTCACAAATTAGCTGTCAAATATGGAAAATGGCGAGAATGGAGGAATGCCTAAAGTGCACAGGGTTGCAAGGCGAAGCAATTAGATTACGCTATGCGTGAACGCATCGCGCAGAAAAGGAGGCTGCGCATATAGCTATGTAACGACAAAAAAAAAAAAATATTTATTTTAAAAATTTGTTTATTTAATTATGAAATAGTTTTACTGTTAAGTTACACATAATTTTCAGTGTGATTTGCGGACAAAAAAGTGCAAGCTTAATTTATAAATATAAAATTTTTATGTATAAAAAGGAAAAAATAATAAAGTGGTTATAAAATACTACTTTAATTAGATATTAAGTATATTATTAAAGTTTGAGGTTTCCTGCTCATTCCAAGTCGGAAAATTTGTAAATAAATTTTTTTTATTAAGTAGTAATATAAACTTGTATATTTCAAATTGAATTATATTTAAATATATTAGAATTAAGTTAGTGATATACGGTATAGCGCGTGACATTTACATTTGCTAATTAAGCGCTTTCGTAGCGAATTTAATTGCTGGTAAAATYGGACAGCTACACAAACAAAAAATCAATTTATAATGAAATAAATTAATTTTGGATCAGAAAAATATTTTTCTGACAGCTAACAGCTGAATTAATTTCTTTTCCGTTACTTTTTTGTGTTTACTTTTTTTGTTAAATTTTGTTTTTTTAATTGTATTTTATTTGTTTCCTTTGTAATTTTTTGTTTAGCTTCTCACACTTGTACAGTTAATCAATTGTATAAATTTAATTCTCTCTAAATGCGCTATTAAATTACCACAAACCAATTTGCTTATTTGCGGAAATGTTGACACATACATATATACATACATAMATATACATACATATGTATGTATATGAAAATAAATGAAGAAATAGTAAATAGCACATTTTGCAATTAAAATGCAAATCATTTTCAGTAATTTCCAGTAATATTGTGCAAAAGCTTAAATATGATTCTCCTTTGAAGCGCTTTTTGCCTGTATCAAATGATTTCCACGCGTACTGTTGTTGTACTGTTATAATACACGTTCTCTGCTTTTGACTTATGAACGCCAAACTGTAACTATGCAACTATTTTAAAAAGAAGAACCAAGAAAAAACATTACAAACATTAACTTACGCTGCACYGAAATTATAAAAACCTTAAAATAGTAAAAAGAATTTGATGTTGATCGTTCAGTTGGTATGGCAGCTAAAAGTTTTATCTGTCTGATATCGGCGTTTCCGATAAATTAGTAGCTTTTTGTGGTACTCTCTCCAAACGTGTGCAAAATAACAGATCGCTATCATCTTATAAATATTTTATAGGGCCACTGACGCCTCCTGCTGTGTGCTAAAAGCATAATATATCCTGTTCAGCGTATAACAACAATAAAACAACTCTTTTGAATTCATATTCATAGTAAGTTTATTAATTGTCACAAATTCTTGGAAAAAGTTGCGTTTACAGTATTCGAATAAGTCTTTAAGTGATTTGATAGACATTAATAATGTAGACTTCAGTACAGAAAAGCTATGTATTTTCACTTTTAGGCCAATCTATTTGCTTCGCACTCAACGAGTTTCACATTAGTACCAACACTAACAGCACAGCAATATGTATAAAAATTGAATTCATTTCAGTTAGACTTGACAATAAAAACTGCAATTTATTTCCAAGAAAAAAAATTTATTTTTGTGTAAAAAAATTTAATTTAAAAAAAAAAAACGTTTTTATTGTAAATCAAAATTTTTAATGCCAATTTTGAGTGAATAGTTTCCTTGATGGTACTTATACAATATGATATTTTTGCTGTTAGCACTTTTGCTTTTACATAATTAAATTGTCATATTTATATGTATTGTAGTCCGTGTTTTGCATGCACGTCCAGACACACACACACACACACATGCACGTTTGTGCCTGTATGCATTTTTGTACGCATGTATTTAATTGTAATTAGCTTAATCAATCTAATGATGTCTAAAAAAGCTTACTACTTATGTATGTATGCAATGTTAACAAAAATACATATTTAGTATGTACGAAAGCTATAATCAACACAACACACCAAAATATATGTTTATGTATAAATATATTTATCCACTTATATGCAGTTTATTATTATTATTATTTTATATGCTTAAACACTAAGTATGTATATATATGTATATAAGTATGTATGTACTTAAATGGAGTACATTTACAGAAATTATAAATTATAATTAATTATAAAATTAAAAAATGCGAGTCATTGAACGGTTAATGCTAATTAGCATTADYTTAGTAGTGATGCGTTTAGTATTATTTACTATGCGTATTAACATTTAAAAGCAGCCATTTATAAATATRTGTACKTGTATATGTATGTTTGAATTTATGTTTGTATGTATGTATATATCATGCATACATAAAGATATATGCATTGTTGTTGCTTTCAATTGTTTTATTTTAGTAATTTATTTTTYTATTATTACTATTTATTATWATTATAATAATTTTTTTACTAAATATGTATTATCAATTTAGTCACTTATTATGTATACATGTAAGTATGCTTATATGTATATGTTGTTGTAAATATATAATATTGTTAATGGAAGTAGTTTACAATAAGTAGCGTACGAGTTCTGCTCGTATATGTATGTATATATAAGGGTATTTGGCGTGCTTACTATGACGCCTAAAAGCATGCTAAATAAATAAGACGCGGACGTGGATTAGGAAATGTTGTATGCGTGTAATTTATTTTAGTTTTTCTCTGTTTACTTCATACACACATATATATGCTTGTGCCGTTATTTGCATACTCGCACAAGTGCTTACTTTACTGGTACATAGAAATGTTAGACTTTGTTGTTGCTTTTCAACGGTTATCGCTTAATTTCTGCTTTAACTTAGCACATGCTAAATTTAGCATTTTCYATTTCTTAATACTTTAATTATTTATTGAATTATTGTATTTTATTTTGAATTTAGTTTAATATAAACTTAAAGTGCGCATTRCTAAAAAATAGTCTAATCTTATTATTTATTCATTATGAATAGTTTATACAATAGGCGGGGAGAGATGCGAGTGCCACCATGGCGTAATTATTTTTTGATGTATATAAATGTATATAGCGGTTTTATAGTATTCAAATATTATAAATTATTTMACTTAATTAATTATTTTGTTATATAATTTGTGTGATTCTCAGTTTGCAAGACGCGTGCATACTATGAAATGGGGGGAAAAATATGATTTAAAAAATCGGCCATGATTTTCGTGCTGACTCATGTTCTAACTAGCACTTATGTCGATTTTTTTGTTTTATAGTTTTCAGCTAATGAATGCTACAATAATAGCAAAAAAAAGTAGCTTGAWGATTGTGRAAGTATGTTGCGCCTAAATGCATGYTACGCTGAAACGTATTTTTCGCCGAAATGTATGCTTCCCGTAATGTATATTACGGCAGTTAATCTTTTAAAGTGTTTATCCGAGACACGATATGGCCGTCTTTAAAAGATTGCTAGCAAAATGGCGTTTGAACCTGAGCAAATTTTTATTTTTGTTTAGAAATTTTTCCTACTTTCTAAAAAATTTCGAAATTAGCACTAAGCCTGAAGTGTCAGCGTGTTAAATTATACAAAATCAAATTAATTAAATTACTTCTTTTATAGTTTTTTTCCTCATCGCATGCGCAAACACATTTATTTTTTTCCCATTTCGAAGCTTTAGTTAGACACAATTCGTGATGATATTTGCTTAACGCGCACGCGCCTGCTCTTTATATTAAATAAATTTAAGTTTTGTCACATAATCAAAATTTCATGGTATGTATGTATATCCAGTTGAGCTGCAGCTGCAAGGACGTTGCCCACTCGACAAAAATTGCTTACGCAACACTGCTTTAGTTGTACGACTCCGCGGTCGCATACAAATTGCCGCAGTCCTGTTCTGAAGACATCGAGTAGTTGGCCGAGTCACGATCTTCGGGTATGGCTGTATTGACTAGACTATGTTGTAGTGGATCCTGCAGTAGTTTGGAGAAGGTATGATGGCCGGCGCCCAATCCTAAATGTCCATATGGCGATTCAGCSGCTTTGGTGACATGCGGCAGACGACGCAGGAAATGCGGATTTGAGTAACGCACACCGTTCGGCAGTGTGGTGTGCATACCGACMGGCGGTGGTGGYGGCGGTGGTGATATTGACTGTGGCGCTGAGTACTGTTGCTGCGTTTCATGCTGTTGCTGGTGTTGTTGTTGCTGTTGCACGCGCGCTACATTCACACCGGCCATCGCCACCGCTGAGTTGGCATATTGCGAACGAAAACTGCTTAGGCCGCTCTGCTGTGGCGGTGGCGGCGGCGGCAGCGGCAGCGGTGGTTGTGAATGCATCGAGTATGCAGATGTGGTCATGCCGTAGTTGCCGCTGCCGCGTACAGCTTGCGCCGCTTGYTGTTGACTGTGACAAGCCGCCGGTAATGGCATTGTGCTGCAATGATTGGCATAATCGAATTTCTGTTCGGGCGCCGAGCGTGTCAGTGGTAGAGTGGCGCTGTTGAGTGCGCGGCCCRCCGCGCCRATTGCATCWCCACCAAAGCTGGACATGCGCATGTTGGTGCAACGTCCGTAGGGTTCCTCTTGTATGGGCGGTTGTGGCGGCTTGGGTGGTGGTTTGCAGGCGGAACGTGGTCGTATGACTACTTCGACGTCACGTTCCTCGCCCGAATGCACGCCACTCGACGATTCGGATGGTGCGCGTTCGGGCGGTGATGTGGTGCTCTCTGTGGTRGAGGTGGTGTCGCTGCGYGGTGTGAGCGCTTCGTTTGGTACACCCGAATCGGCGCGACGCAAGCAACGCGGTGTCGAGCTGGAGGCGATCTGGAAGAGAAATTCATTTAAAATAGAGAAAAAAAAATTTTTTTTTTAGAAATTATAGAGCAGTCTATAGCTATCACAATTAAAAAGCTTTAAAAATACAT